CTGCTAACCAAAAGGTTGCTGGTCCACCCAGAAGCAACTCAGAAGAAAGGTCTGGCAATCTGCTTCTAAAATATCAGCCCTTGAAAACCCTGGGAACCACAGCTCTTTTCTGACTCTCATAGGATCATCATGACTTGGAAATGACTCAATGGCAACTGGTTTAGCTTTTCTTTCTGTTTTCCTTAGCTGCCATTCCCAGAGTTCACAGGGCGACTACATGAGAAGTGGCTCTGCCACAAACCAGGGCTGCTATCTTAATTAACTACATTTGTGACTTTCCTTCTGGTGTCAACATCTGTCTTGGTTTTATTTTCTCTCTACATGGTGTCTTAATGCATCAGGATCTCTCAAGACCCAATTTTATCTTTTCCATTGGTTGACAGCCTCTTTCTTTGAGGTGTCTTCCAGAGTCCCCCAAAGCAAATTTTGAAAATGCCATGCAGCTTATATTTGAATTCAAAACATCCCAAACATGTTTGCCATTTCTGGAGAAAATTCATTCACTGCTTTTTTTTTTTTTTTTTTTTTCTAATAAAGTCATATAGGCAAAAAGATAGAAATACTTTCCTTAAATAACTATATCAACTGGAGAAAAGGTTGGCCTTATAATTATAGAGGACTTAATGGTCGCTGTGAGTCAGATCCAACTCCATGGCAGTGAGTTTGTTTTGTTTTGTTTTTTATTAACGGTTTATGAAGTTCTTTCACCCACATAATTTTATTTCAGTTCTCAAGTCACCACTCCTTGTAACCCTTCAAGAACCCCACAACCCCTAACCCAGCTAAAGACATTTTAATGATTTCCCATGCACCTTAGTATAAAGACCAAATCTTTACCATGGCTTTTAAATCTTTTAAGTCTCTAGCTTTATCTCAACACTCTGCCCCGTTGCTCTCCACTCCAGCCACATGGCTTTTAATCAGCTCCTCAAATGAGCCACATGACTTTTGTACATACTTCTCCCACTGCCTTAAATATTATTTCCCTCCTGTTTTCCCAGTTAATTCCTACTCTTCCTACAGTTTTCAGCTTCATTGTCACTTCCTCAGGGAAGCCTTTCACAATCTCCCTGATGAGGTCAAATCTCTCCAAGATACGTTTTCATAGCTTCACATACCTTCCTTTCTTAGTACTTAGCCCAATTATAACTTTACATGTATTTATATGATTATTTGAATATCTCCTGTCTCAAATAGAAGGAGCTCTGCTGGCACATTGTCTAAGGTATTTGACTGCTAACCAGAAGGTTGACTGTTCAAACCCACCAGCCACTCCTCGGAAGGAAGACAGGGAAATCTACTTCCATAAAGATTTACCACCTCAAAAACCCAATGGGGGTTGCTATGAGTCAGAATTGACTCCATGGCAGTGGGTTTGGTTTTTTGGGTTTTGTCTCAACTAAAAGACTGTAAGTTCTATACGGGCAGCAACTATGTCTATTTTTGCCCATCTACCTATTCCTAGTACAAGTTCATGCAAGGCATATTCAACAAAAATGTAATCAATGATTGAATTAATAATCTCTGTGTGGAGGGAAGGTATTATGTTCTCATTAAAAAACTTGGAAACTGAGTCTCAGAAATGAAAGGATTTGCTCAAGAACCACACAGATACTCTGATCCCACAGCCAGGGAATACACCATTCCAAATGCAGGTTTCCTCTGCTATCCAAAAGCAGAGAATTCCCATGAAACACTTTCTAGGCCAAAATGGCATAAAACAAAGAAGCAATATCCATTAATTTATATGGAAGAAAAATTTAAGCATTCCTAGCTCTGGTAGCATAGTGCCTAAGGCAATTGACTGCTAACCAGAAGGCTGGTGGTTCAAGCCCACCAGCCACTCCTTGGAAGGAAGATGGGGCAATCTATTTCCGTAGTGATACTGCCTCGGAAACCCAAGGAGAGGTCACTATGAGTCGGTCCGACTGGATGGCACATAACAACAACAACAACAAAGACTCAAAAAATAACCAACTCAATCATACCAAATAACACAAAGAACCTATAATAACACTAACAAACTGTTCACAGACACAGTTCAAAGCTGTGGTAGCTTGATGTTGAGATGCTGAATGCAATTCCCGGGAACTCTCTAATCGCTCTCTATAAAACAAACACTGAACACTAGTTTTTGCCTTTTTTTTTTTT